CTCAGGTACATGGAGGGCTGGCACTCCCTGTGGCTTGTTTTAAAAACACAGCTGTGTGTTCACACCCTGGTGGAGCACTACTGTGACTGCAAACTTCTGTGTGTTTTTATGGAGCGAAGGGCGTGTAAGTTTACTGGGCCTGGCGAAGCACAAAGAGTTGAACATGTTTACACAGAAACAGATGTTCCGGCGTGTTGCTGTGACAACTGGATTACAATTTTATATTTCTTTAAAATATGTGTAGACACTGTAGCCTTTTTCAAATGTCCTTTAAAAAGAAAACATTGTCACATTAAAGCACTGCTTCCCATGAGACATTAGAAGTAGGGCGCGACAAACTGGACTACATTTTCCAGGTTCATGTAACAATGGAACAACTGCACTTTTATTTTCTCTTTTTGAACTTATTGTGTTATTTTGGTGGTACTTATTTTGATTCATTATAAAATATGAAGTTTTATGAGGGTGTTGGTTTGAAAACTTAATTAGTTTTAACTTCATTTGTCAAGATCTTTGTTGGGGCGATGAGGGCAGGTGGAAGACCTAATTTTTTAGTGAAAACACGATTTTCCACTAGCGAGCGCTTGCGTACCACTGGTGGTACACATACCACAGATTGAGAAACACTGTCTTAGATTAAGAATATTTTATTGACAGATTTTAATGAACTAGGAATGGACAAGAATTAGTATGCAAATGTCTAATGTATTTACTTTTTTATTATTATCAAGTCAAATATTTGTACTGGACTCATGCTAGATAACAGTTAATGTTGCTTTGCACCTGTCATGACATTATGTGCACATTTAGGGGATTAGAGGACACAGTGTAAACACATACCCATTTGATAAAGTTTTTAATTGATGGTCTCCGTTCATAACCGGCTGGACGGTGTTGGCTTTTGTGGATGATATGTTCACTTCCCTAATTATTAGTACGGTATTCACAGTCCTCCAACAATAGGTTTTAATTGTAGGTGACAGTTGTTTTACTTCAACAGCTTCAATGATCATTTTCAAACAAACAACAATTAAATGTAGTGTACACACACTCCTAGTGATACGGCTGTAAGACGAGCAATTCTTCTGGCCATTATCTCAACTTCATCTCATCAGTTAAACTGGCTGAACAGGGGAAAGAATGTTAAATGTCACCCACAGAACACTGAACACAGACAAGCCTCTCTAGGACACAATGTACTTGTACAAACGGAGACGTAAAATATCAAATAACGCCCATCTTCAGGTAAACAGAAAGGTACACATCGGAGCCGATGGCGGCGGCTGATTGGAGACACGAGCACCGATCATGTTGTTTATTCTCCTTCTACAGCGGGCAGATGGCAGGAACATGAGAGGATGACAAAGTGTTCTCACGAACGGGAGGAGGTTTCCAGCAAGGATGAGTAACTGGGTGAGGCTTTGGGTCAATAGAATGCAAATGTAAAAAAAAAAAAAAAACAGATACAAAAGACAGAAGTTGAATCTCAGATTCAGCCACAGGTGACTGAGTCACCAGAAGATTCTGCAAAGGAGGCTCTGTGTATATTTACCAAAGAGATTGTTAGACAGGTGGGAAGATTAGAGTCACACCCGCCTCCCCTCCAATCCCCTTAACAACAGTTTGTCGTGGATAAGCTCGGGCTTAGCCTGTCTCCTGATAAGTCTGAACCGAATCCAACTTAGTCCATCTCACTGACTAGTGCCAGGAGTCACTCCTCGGTAAGAAAGACGTCTCTGGTAAGATTATGCCGATGCTGTCAGTCACACAAATGAATGTGTGAAAAAGAGCCGCTCGTGATCATTTAAAAGGAATTTGAAAGTATCACCTAGTACAGTGGGCTAATTTTCAGTGCAATCACAGAGCGTAGATTTATGAAACTAGAACAGCCGACCTGTGAGGTTCTAAGCAGCAGATCAGGAATGTAGAAAACAAGATAAAACTAGACCTGCCTGCAGGCATGAAGAGGTTCAAAGTCCCAAATATAATTCCATGTCACATATAGTGGGAATGTACTGTATGTACTGTCTGATCGTTCACCATATGTAACTCTAATGGATTTGGATGTACTGTAAATACAGCTTTGGACTGTATGGCAGACAAATAACGACTGTACTCTCTCTTTGTCCTTTCCTGCTCTGTCAATGATGAACACAGTCTGACGTCTTCTTTAACAGTGGAGACAAATATTGCTCATACCGGGGTGGAATTTGGAATGAGATAGAACGAAATTAAAGATAAATCTGATGAAACAGTGATGGTCAAAAATGTAGGGAAGATGTGATGTTATTCATCATATTATCTTAGAGCCCCCCCCCCCCCCCAGCAAATCAAACAAAGCTATGATTTGCCTATACATTTTAATTACAGTGGTATTTTTCGTATCATACCACCATGGTACACACTTCCACTGGAAAGGTGTATTTAAATGTATCCATCTATGTGAGTGGTATATTTCTCATTTATCACTCTTAGCCAGGGACTGATAGACAAAAAGCAGAGTGCTCCAGACGTCAGAGAAACAAATTGTCGCACTTCCTGTAGTAGCCAAAACTGTCCTCTCAGTTTGGGGTCATGAATCAACCTTTGTGAAATAGTCTGAGCTCAAAGTCTGCTTCTAGATCTTAAATTAGCTGAAGGCTATTCCTGCATGTTAATAATCTGCGAAGCCTTGGAACCAATGCAGTGGGAGGTGCGGGCACCGCTGTGCGGAGTGTCAGAGGCAGAGCTGTAAAGATTCTGCTGTGGCCAACAGGAATAGACAAATGTTTATCTTTTTATCTCTTCTTTGTGCATGTGACACCGTAGATGGTTAAACTCCAATCACTCTGTTTGACCTTTGAGGCCCAGAGTATGTCCTCAGTGTCAGTCCTGTCACGTCACTATTGTCTTGTCTTGTCGTATAAGGTCTAACTCATCATATTGATGAAAGTTTTAGGGGATGGCCAACTCTGATGTCTTGATTTACAAATGTCATATTTATATTTGCTTTGCGAAGCATTAAAAAAATGAAGAGCCTAGGGCTGAAGAGGGGATTCGAGATCTCTGCAATTAATGACGGAAATTTCACATTTTTGTAAAACTGTAACTTTCAGTGAAGTTGAACCAGACTCAATAGCCGCGTTGTATGCCTGTCCTAATTCTATGGTTAGGCTTTTGTATTCTTTAAATATATAGACAACTATTAAACACACAATAAATGAAGAGGTTCTAATTTTAATTTGATTATTTTTTACAATAGTTTTCACCCTGGATCCACAGCCAATGAAACACATTTTGGCCTGAACGTCTCTGTGGTCTTGTGTGTGTTTGCGCATGTGTGTACGTAGGCTTGTGAATTTTGTGGGTGTGTGTCCGACTCTTCCTCTATGGTGGGGAGATTAGGTGGTTAATCCGGAGCAAAACCCTCTCCTGATGCCACAAAGGATATCACTCCGTCCACTGGAGGGATGACAGATCTGCTGCTGATACATATCTTGACCTCTGACACACACACACACACAGAAAGAGAGAGAGAGAGAGAGAGACAGTGAGAGAGAGAGAGAGACAGCGGGAGAGAGGCACTTTATCAAGGTCAGGATATTATATTACACATCATATGGGATGCATGCTATAAATAGCACCACATCCATGGAGCCTTAGCATTATAAAGCTGTCACCTCTTTTCCCAACTCTTGCCGTGTGTTACGTACGCAGTAGAATCTTTACAGTGTTCTTATAAATACTTACCAAAGACCGGCGTTATGTAGTTCCACATCTGTATCTTTTGACTTTTCATACCCACCCATGCAATCCTCAGTAGTAATTGACTCGAATATTGATTAAGTAATAGACCTTCCACGGATGAGCAGCTGTGTTGCTTTGTCTTCTACGATCAACGATCACTACTAATGGACCACTTGCTCCCATGCGTAACTGGCAATGTCGTGGACATGCTGTTTTATTGGAATGATCCCTGACTTTTAACTACTCAAGTACACAACAGTGCTATATATAATATAAATGATATTATATGATTTTCACATAATATCATTTTTATTTTATTTTTCATTTTATAATAAAACATCCTCTATCCAACCAATTTATGTAAACACATACAAAACAAACACTGCACTTTTATTTTGGACATGGAAGATTTCCAAAATAGTCCAAATAAGACGTTTCTAAGCCACTTCAACAGCAAATTTAATAATAATTTTGTAATGTCGTCTCTTGTTTCTTTCCACCTGATCTGTCCTGCAATCAGTTACACAACAAATGGGAAACAATTGACGCAAACATTTGGTGAAACACAAATGTACATCACAGTCACCACATACAGAGACGAACCACCATTTCCACTGCCATCACACCCACGGTGAATTAGGAGTCTGCACTTAGTTTTTATTGTCAGTCTGCATGTTGCTTTATCCACACAGATGTGAAGAACATGGAGAACTTTATAAAGAGAGGCCATCTGTCTGAAAGGAGCAAAGACCCAAACCAGTAACCATCTGGTTGTAAAAGATAAGTGCCATCACTGCATATGACTGGCAGCTGGACGGTTCCAACAGCAGCAGAGTGACATTGCTGATGTATACCGCAGTTTCCCAAAGACTGGGTCGCAACCCTCAGGTGGGGTCGTCTCACATGATGTTTTCCATGAGTTTATAGATAATGTCTATTGACTTAGGTCATGAAGGTTTGTGACTTTTAAAATTTGGGTTCCCATAAAAAAGTTTAGGAAACACTGATGTATACTGTCACCATGCTCCTGATGGATGTCACTCTCTTACTCTAACTTTTCAATTTGAAACTTGATTAAATCAGGAATGTGAGTGTTGTAACAGAGCCATAATCCAGTACAATAGCAGTAGAAGTTAGATGGGTAAATAAATGAATAAATAAATAGATAAAGGAATAAATAGAGTATTTTTAAAGGATGACAAACTAAAGATAAAGAACTAAAGTGCGTTTTATTTTGAATTAAACGGAAGTAAAGTAAGGTTTCCGGTGCTGGGCTCAGCTTGTCGCTGGTTCAGCGGCTGACAGCTGAACGGGTTGTGGTAGAACAGCAGCAGCCGCAGCGGCGCAACCAGAAATCTGAACAACATTCACCTCGAAGTCCCTTTTTAAAGACCGGTGCCATTTCATCGTGTGACGTTTTCTCATTCAACCACTGGACGGTTTTTTAATTCGTTCGCTGGCGTTGACCGTAAATCACCGATTTATTCTCGTTTCAGTTCCCTTTTTTAACCGAGAGAGAAAAGCTCTGTGCCCGGTTGTGCCAGCAGTGTTGGTTTTTTTTCTCTCGCATGGCGTAGGCACCTTTTCTGAATCGGGGTATACATCCTTGTTGTGTTGGTGGAGGTCGGAGGAGGCCCCCCCGGTGCCGCTGCATATCCACTGTTTTATTTGCACACTTGAACAGTTTTGGAGGAAAACGATGTACGACATGATTGTGCAATAGAAGAGGAGGAAGAAGACGCGCTGCATGTACTGACTGACTACCTTTGTGGAGAGAGAACGAGACGCGTCAGGAATACATTTCCTTATTACGTTCTCTGAACAACACCTCCCGTGTGTTTCCCCTGGTGAGACCTTTCGTACCCTAGAGGAAAAGAAGGAATATCCGTGTTTTCCTCCTGTATATGTGCGCGTGTGTGTGTGCTTGAACCCTCCGAGGACCTGCTAAACCTTCACGATGACGGGCAGCACCCCAGCAGACATGGTGAGAGCTTCTACCCCCGACCATCCACACATCATCAGTTAGCATCAACCTAGTCCTGAGGAGCGTTGGCATTAAAACATGAAGGAACCAAAACAAACAAATAAAGAAAAAAACAAAAACCGAGAACACAATCAGGTGACAGCATCAATTCAAACTTCCTCATTTTACTGCGACCCTCCAAAAGGAAACTTGTGACATTAGAAAAATAAAAAACAAATACAAATTTATGCTGTACGTTATAAATCATATAGTTTTTTTTTTAAGTCAGCAATGCTTCGTCTCTGTGTACCATTTAAAACGAACAAACATAAGATCTGAGGTCTGATAAATGCTAATGATCAGTACTTGGTAATCGCTTCTCTTGATGACCCTTCAAAATAAAGGACACTTCTTTAATCATACACTGATTTGCAGCATCTTTTTTTTAATCTTTTTTTTAAATTTTTTTTTATTTCCACAAACACAGCCAACTAGAGCAATCGGGGGGTCGGGGATTGTCAGGGTCGCATTGGTATGTAGACTAGCTAAGCCTGCACATACTTGTGCAAATTATGACAAATTATATTTATATATTTCATTTATTTATCAGACCAAAAAGATGAATTAAAAAAGTACTCATGGTAAGGAGGCCAAGTTAACCATTGAATAGCACCGAGTATCACTTGTCGTTGAAGAAAATGTTCATGTACATTTTATTCCGTCTGTACAGATTGTTTTTTTATGTGTCATCCTTTTGCAGTCCTGTTTGTGCTTGTTGCTTTGGTGCCAGGTTATTAGTCCAAACTAAACTTTCCATTACTACAGGTAAGGCAGTAAAGGTACGATGATATAGAAGTTCCCAAAGTTGACTTCGTGGATCTCCAGACAGTAATTACAGGAGTTTATGGTGCTTCTTACATCTCGTTAAACTTTCATCAGGATGAAACCCTATATGAGCACCCGCTCAAATGTATGCAATCTATCACAGTCATCATTAAGTCTGCATTACCGACCGTGAGTCACATAAGTAATTGCCTGGTAAGACATTTTACATTCAGCACAATCCACACTTGCCTCATTCCAATAAAGCAATGAATTCAATTAGATTTTCTGTTGAGGAGAAAGTAAGACGGAGTGAAACATTTAGAGTAATCAGAAGACCAAATGAGCAACTTGAATTTCCCTAATTCCATAAACAGTCATTTCTCGTTATTTCCGACAAGCTCTTGATAATCTGTGTATTTTTCTTCCTTCAAAAACACCACCACAGAAACGGTGCTGCTTTGAGTTCGCAGTAACTGGTAATAGCTTGGCTGCTACTGTGCTGTGCCATTGTGTCATACCTAGTGGTGCTTTAAAAAGGGAGTCTGAACAGTGCCCTTTACTCAGGACTCATTATGAGTTAATTTTTACCTGTTGACCGTATCTCACATGACCTTTTGTTTTGTTTCACGTACTTGCTGGTTACTGTATTATAATTGCTAATCATAAATAAGCCTCCTTTAAAAGGTCGTGTCTGAAGTCTCAGGCGGGAAGTAATTTTACTCAGCTTTTCTTTAGATTGGGCATATTATTACCTCTACGTTGAAGGTTGTATGTCTGGCGTCTTTGCTGCTTCTGTAGTAGCTTTATGAATAGCTCCACAGAATATGTTCCCCATTCACAAACCTGCTCCACTGGTGGTGCCTGATTTAATCTGATCAACTGCCAGTAGAGCAGGCCCATTTTGTTGTCAGGATATTGGGATGTAATGCAGTGAGGAAGTCAATTGTGCTCCAGGCCTTGTGTGTATTTTATATAGCTTCGGCTACAGTGTCCAAGTATAGAGCACCACAAGGAAATTCCATGGATTAGGGACATAATCATGGATGTGGATGTAACATTTTCTCATCTGTTATGACTGGTTGCTAAATCCTCAGGAATCCTAGAGAACTTTAGTGGAAGGACTCTAATGATTATGTCATCATTGGCTACATATGGACTACAGAGAAGGGTTAGGATTCAATATGCTGTATTGTTTTGTGAACTTGTCTTCAACACATTAGTTTTTCTTTATGTCGGTGGACTAGTACACTGGTAGGACACTTTTTATTCATAGCAAAATTACAGACTACAATTGTTACCTTTTGTCTATGCTGGTGTGTTTACTGCATATTGTCCTCAAGGCAAACTAAACGAGTTAATTTTAAACCCAAAATACCAATAGCATCTGACTGGTGATATGCTGGGTGTCTAATCTGCCTTTTATTGCTGCTACATTAAAATGATACCATAGCTTTTGCAGCTACCGAACACCCCCCAGCCCCCCACCCCATTCCACACTTGAAATGGATCAAGGAGGCTCCAATTATTGTCAGAGAGCAGCAGCCAAATGTGTGAAGAAGACCTTACACCACGGCAGAATGACTGTAGCATGGTGTGGGTTTGACAGCTAATTACTGCAGTATCTGTTTGTGCCATGTTTGTCTGCTAATTACTACAGTTCCCTAAATTGTAATTAAAGTTACCAGTTGTGTTGTTAACACAGAGTGATGCTAGTCAATAGAGATTTGATCTCATAACTATGTTGTTTTCCTTTTCCTTCACCATACGGAGTGCATGAAATACAGTATTTGATGATTAAAACTACATTTGTAGTTTTGGCCGTGATGTACTTCAGTAAAAGGTGAACCGGAGCTTGCGTACCCTTAGATGACCAAAGTTTGGTTGAAGTCTCTGGCTGTCTTGCTAAATTGCCTTTTAGTAACCCAGAGAATCCCTGCCAGCTGTTTAACAGCTTAGCCTGCTCTCTGCTGTGAGTGTTTCACTGTTTGGGGAGCATCACAATATTATCACATCTTTTTTATGCCGATGTCTAGCAGGTAGTTTATTCCTCCACAGGTAGTAATATTTTTCAGCTGCCAACTCTGAAGACAGTTTTACATGATTTATTCTTGCCATTGCCGCTGCTGTCACGCTTGTGTTATTAACATGCTAGGAGCAAAAACACAAAAGGTCAAATTCTGCACACAAGTGAGATGTTTCAGCCAGAGTTTATCTTCACAGCAGTCACCTTCCCAAACGCCAGAGTCTGCACATCAAACTAGCTCTTTATGCTCCTGGAGGAAATTCAGCTCTCTGACTTTAACACATCCTGTGTGGTTGGAGTCAGCAGCAGATGACTTTAGTACCCCACCCCAGCCCTTCTCCCTGTCGTCTCTCCATATGTGGAGAGAGTAAGTGTATGCACACACTTAGCAGAGCTTTATGGAGTACGGGCGTGTGTAGGAAGAGAGGAGCTCGCTGGTGCCAAACGTTCTAGTTGAATAAATCGTAGAAAGAAAATGAGGAGGAATAGTCATGCCCCATGAGAATGGAGATTAGGGGTGCAAATTCAAATTACCTTGCCCCAGGCAGGTCTCGAAAGTGCTGACGGGGTCAGAACGGTCCCCTTGGCAACAGAGAAATACTTGGATCTAATGTCTGCATGCCTGTTTGTGAATGTGTGTGTGTGCAGTGACTGTGGGTCAAGGTGCATTGCAGGTATGTGTGTGAGTAGTAGTGAAGAGGTGAGCTATATACTTCAGCTCAATATACAGTATATCTTCTACTTGTTAAATGTGCAAAGTAACATATTCCAAATAACATGGGATTTCATTTTAAATATATTTAAACATTATTGTAGAGCAGCTTATATTGATATAAGTGATATCGCCGCTTTTTATGTTTGGATAAAAAAATGCAATATCAAATTTGTTGCATCATCCAGCCCTATATTTCTGTCTCCTTTATGCTAATACAAATGTGTCCTTGATGGAACAAAACAATGGCTCTAGAGAAGCTGTGTTAATAGATAGTCATTGAATGAGTCAGTGCTGTATTTTTGCACATGTACCATACAAGAAAATGCTCTGTATTCACACAGAAGACTAGACTTTTCCCCACATGATCCATCCTTCAGATCAGTTAATGTGATAAGGTTTCTTATGGTTCAATTATATCCTTATGTGAAAGTGAATTACGAAAGCATTTTACCCCACACCAAAGTGAGCGGACCTAAGTCTGCTTCCAAGCCACCACTGTCCCTGTCCCTTTTGGAATTGACATGGATGGACCAAATAGAAGTTACAACCAAACTGGAGGAAGAACGTCACTCTGCATGTGTTTTTTTTTTGCACATTTGAAAACATGTTTGCACTAAAATAACATTTTTTACCTTTCTTTTCACACAGTGCTAACAGTCTGTTTGTGGCAGGTTCTTATTTTGCTTTAAAGCAGTTTATAGTTCATTCCCACATTATTGGGAGTCTTCTTAGGGAGCACGGACACTCACCCACAAAGATGCACACAAAGGAGTCAAAGGTGAGGGTCGGAGGTCAGCTGTGTGGGGGTCAGAGATGAAAGAACAATGTGTGGGGGTGGGGTTGAGGGTCGCTACTGCTGAAAACAGCAGTCCCTGTTGGTCTTCTCACTTGAGCTGAGCTCAGCATTTGTGACACCAAAGTCCAATGGGAGCCTTGAGCCTCAGGCTGCAGCGGCCTGCGGGACATTCAGACAAAGAGAAGACGATTGAACAGTGAATGAATGTAACTTGTTGGTGAATGGGTGTGTGTGTTACTAATGCCATGTGTTCTGGGTTACATCATCGTGCCCGGGACCAGGAGTTGATGAATTGACACTGACATTGTCACATGGCTGCAGGGATCTGTCAAGAGATTCAACAGGGGTTTTGAAGTTTCATAGACGTGTTCATTTCAAAATGTTTCCGAAAACCCATGACCAAGATTCTAAAGACAGATTCCGCAACCTGGCAGCCTTTTAGTTCATACTCTAGGCTCTGCAACGAAACATTATAAATGATTCAATAAAATTAAGTGATTTTTGAATTGAACAGTGAACAGTTTGTAAACATAAATTTAGGCTCTTTGTTTTTGAATTTAAATAAGAAAATTGTTGCAATATGGGACTTTATGTTATAGTAAAATTCTTTCATTTTGTCCACGTGTCCAGCAGCCCTCTTTGACCGTGCAGCATTAATTTAA